TTTTTTTTTTTTTTTTTTTTCGTAACAAAGTTGACCGGATTCGTAATAAGTTTGGATGAAAATCCTTGCTACTCGTTTACTTACTTTTTTGGAAAATATCAAGGAATGCATACTAATACCATGGTGAGTAAATTAAGGAAAATATAATTTTATAATTTGTCTAATTATATTTAGACGATTTTTCCTTTGATATCTTTCTTCTTTTTTCATTCTCTCTTTCTTTTTAAATTTATGGTTGAAAAGTAGCTATATTTATTATATATTTAAACAAGTTTTATATATATATATATAATCTTAGACGTAATTCTTACGTATTACATTATGTATCAAGTACTGTAGGCCTTGAATAAAAGATAATAACTTTTTTCTTTTTTTTTTAAATACATTCCTCGTTCTCTCTTCTATGCGAAACATTACAACCTTGAATGAAGAGCCATATATTTTACTTTTTCTCCGGGAATAGTGTAAAATCCTATTTAAATGCGAAGTAAACATCCGCGTAAAAGAATAAAAAGAAAGAAAGAAAAAAAAAACTATCGTCGATCAATTCACGATGATTATTTCAAAATTGATCGCGGAAAAGGAGAAAAGATAAACGAGTTCGAGATGAAAAAAGGAAACCCCTCCTATCTTTTTACATTTTCATTTCTTTCCCGAGATCTCGGCTAATGATTACCATCTTCCCCCCGATACCTCATTCTTGACCGGTATTTAGGAAGGTCACGACCTCAGGGTAGGTTTGTCACGAGAAGGTTTATTTACGCATGCGCGACCCGCGGGCGAAAGTATTTAAAGAGGTGGACGCGCCTTCGGGAAGGCCACTCTTCCCCGAACTGTCACGAATCGCGCAAGTTCCCCACTTTCTTCCCCTTCCGAGACAGAATCGCACGCGTTCCCAACGAGAGCGGGGAAAATCACCTCTTTCGGCTCTATTTTTTTTTTCCCTCTCCTCCTTCCCCTTTTTCGTCCCTTTAACACCGCGATAATTGCCCCCTCCTTCTTTCGAACCTCCACATTCGTCCTCCACGTTTTCCCTCTCCAAGAATCGGTCGACGTGCCATCGTTACGTTTAATAGATCTGCTGGCCTGTCTTCGCAGATTCAATTTCGTATCGGCAAACGTGACAGGAAGGAAGAGATCAACCATCATCGTTCGGCCAAACGAATTATTCTTGGGGGAGAGAAAGAGAGAGAGAGAGAGAAAGAGATATGAAAAAATTCGATTCTCTGATCTGATTCGATCGCCTTTGGTTCAATCGTTATATTTCCAAGTGTTATATTATAAAGGATTAAATATTTTCAAGCAAATTCGATTTTGTTGTATGGAACAGGTGATGTTCGTTTGATTATTGGGAAGATATATTGAATATATTAAGAGAGGATTGAGAATTAAAGAAAATATTTGTCGAGTGACAATACGGTTTCTCTGATGGATTAATTTGGAAAGATATTTGTTTATATATATATATATATTTGAAAGGAACGAAACGAATTCAAAGATGGAAGAGGTGGATATACAACAGGAATCAAGAGATCAAGTAGGGAACTTGATCTTTTCTCCGCCACCGATGAAAAAATCTGACACGAGGGACAGTATTTCCTCTGTGGACAGTGACGTGAGCCTTTCCTTCGATCGAAGAGGTTCGAAGGGAGAAGAGGCTGATCTATCAGACAGTGGAAGTTCCGACAATGAGAAGAAAATGAAAGATACATCGTTGTTGCAACGAAAGAATAGTGATCCAGATTCTGGAGCAGATTCGTTGGAAGAGGTGAGCTTTAAAGATTCGAAGAGCGAAGAAATATCGGAAGTAAGTATAGGTACCCAAGCGGATGATTTCGTTCCTCCGACCGATGAATTGGCCGAGAAGATTTGTGCCCAGGTAGAGTTCTATTTCTCCGACGAGAATATCGTGAAAGACGCTTTCTTGCTGAAACACGTGAAAAGGAACAAAGAAGGATACGTGTCACTGAAGCTTATATCGAGTTTTAAAAGGGTGAAACATTTAAGCAGAGATTGGAGAGTCGTAGGTGCTGCTCTGGCGAAATCGAGGAAACTTCAAGTGAATCCGCAGGGTAGCAAGTTACGTAGAGTCGATCCTTTGCCTCCTTTCGATCAAACTACACCGTCGAGAACGATCCTAGCCGCGAGACTTCCAGTGGAGAAATTGTCGGTTGAATCTGTCGCTGAAATCTTCAGGCCATGCGGAGAGATTGCTCTTATCAGAGTACTTCGACCTGGCCATCCTGCACCAGCCGAGGTAGCACCTCTTTATCTTTATCTTTTCCACGATATCTACGAAATTTTTACGTTTGAAACGAGAGACAATGATTATGAATAATAAAATCGCGTAAAAACTTACCTTTGCATCGGGAGAGCATTGATAATTTCGTTGTAATTGTCAGGTGCGTCAAGCAATCGCTAAGAGGCCAGAGTTAGCATCGAGCGAGGAGTGCGCCATGGTCGAGTTCACGGATTCAGCGTCCGCTCGTATCGCCTTACAAATGATCTTGGGCGATGCCAAGGTGTTCGAACTGCAACAATCCAGTGACAAAAAAAGGAAACAGCAACCAGCGAAGAAAAGTGCCCTTACGAGGTTGACCAAAGAGGAAGTTTACAACTCCTCGAGTTGCGCTAGCGGATCCGAACCAGAAGATGGAAAAGTCAGACACAAGAAGCCTATTCATGGTTATCCAATGTATCACGCTTATCCTGCCCATCCATTCCAAGGTATTCTACGAAACAATGTCTAATATCATTATTTCCATTTGTTTCTTTAATCGTTCGTAAGATTTTTATAAAACATTTGTTATAAAACAGTTC